CAGAGGCAGGAATATAGGGAATCTGAACGAAGCAAAACGTTCCTAACACATGTACGCAGTAAACAACTCGAGGATTTGGTGGAGAACATCGGAAATGCAGACGAGTTCTTTTCGAATAAATAAAAGGCCCAGATAACGTGACGGACCGTGACTGGCTGCTTACAGTTTCTTTCTCCGCCCAGTTGTGAGGTCCTGACTTCGTTTTTGGCAACGCTTTTCACCATTCATTACACCCCCAAGTCGTTCTTTACCTACAACACTCGCACATTACCATCATGGGCGCTAATCTTTCAAAGGCTCTTGGTATGTTTCGGTTATTGATATACGATTTCCGTCTCGATCCCTGCCCTTTCCAGGCAAGATTTTTGGAAACAAGGAGATGAGGTTGTTGATGCTAGGCCTTGATGCAGCTGGAAAGACGAGTGAGTATAGCATATAGAAGCTTAAACGTATTTCACTGACATGCCTGGTTCAGCGATCCTTTACAAACTCAAGTTGAACCAGTCTGTCACTACCATTCCAACTGGTCTGTACTATTCTCGCGAATTACCCTTCTTACTTCGAAAAACCTCACACACAATTGCTATGTCGTTTAGTTGGCTTCAACGTCGAAACTGTGACATACAAGAACGTAAAATTCAATGTGTGGGACGTCGGTGGACAAGACAAAATTCGACCACTTTGGAGACATTATTATACTGGCACTCAGGGCCTCGTTTTCGTCGTCGACAGCCAAGATAGGGATCGTATTGACGAAGCAAGGACTGAGTTGCAGAAGATCTTAGGAGACAGAGAGATGAGAGAATGTTTGCTGCTTGTATTTGCAAATAAGCAAGATCTTCCCGGTGGTAAGTAACAATTATTTTTATATTTGCATCATTCAGCTCTGCGTTTAGCTATGTCGCCTGCCGAGGTGACGGAGAAACTCGGTCTCCACAAGATGCGAGACCGGTCGTGGTATGTCCATCCTAGGTCGGTCCACTATCTTCCATATCAGACTCTTGATTGACTTCTTTCTCTTTCTAGCTGTGCCACGACAGGGGAAGGTTTATTTGAAGGCTTGCAGTGGTTGTCGCAAAATGTCAAGAAACGCCAACAGTAACCTTTTGGTTCCTGTACGCGTCACGCTTTCTTGACGACTGTACTGTATTTTTTCTCGGAATCTCTGTCTTGTGCAACGAACATTCCCATTTGTCTCAACATACCCTTACTTATGCTCTCCCTGTTTATACTATACTCATGTCTACGCACGAATACCTGCAACGTACAGAATCGTCTACACGTCTCCAGTTTCATGACTTCCATAGCTCCCGCCGTACCTCATACCAACGCTCAATACCATTTTTTCCTGGGTGACGATTTGAAGATTATATAAGTCGATGTCGTGCTCACTGGTCACCTCCATGAATGACCTTGACATTTTATCTCTTTCTGTCTTTCCACCATGTTTGCAGGTCTCCGTACAACTGCACGCAGGGGCTTCGCTACTGCTTCTACCGTTAGTGGCTTTCCGGGAGCTGTTGGCAATACCCCCCTGGTAAAAAAAATTGTTCACCCCCTTGCTAGATCAATGTTCACATATCCCGCTAGATTTATTTGAAAACACTGTCTGAACAAATAGGTTCCAAGATCTACGGCAAGGCTGAGTTCCAGAATCCTGGTGGCAGCGTCAAGGATCGTGCTGCACTCGGTGTTGTTCGAAATGCAGAAGAGAAGGGCTTGTGAGCTGTAATTCCTTTTACAGCGATTCTATGCCATTCTATCCTATCCGTCCGCACAGAATCAAGCCGGGGGGGACCGTTGTCGAAGGGACAGCCGGAAATACAGGCATCGGGTTGGCCCATGTTTGCCGTGCAAGAGGTTATAACTGTGTAATATACATGCCAAACACCCAAGTTAATTTTTTCCTTCACTTTCTCCTGCCTCCACTTCTTAAGTGCGTATATCTAGAGTCAGGAGAAGATTGACCTTCTGCGAATGCTGGGCGCGGACGTTCGCCCAGTTCCTGCTGTTGCATATGACAATCCATTGAACTATAATCATCAAGCCCGGGACTATGCCTTGACGCTTGAAAACGCTATCTGGACAGACCAATTCGATAATACCGCCAACGCGTATGCTCATTATACTTCTACCGGTCCTGAGATTTGGGAGCAAACACAAGGAGATCTCGATGGGTTCATTTGCGCGACCGGTACAGGCGGTACACTTGCAGGTACTGGGAAGTATCTCAAAGAGAAGAGTGGTGGAAAGACACAGATTTGGCTTGCCGACCCACCAGGGAGTGTGTTGACCAGTCACATACAGAGTGGAGGGAAGCTCTTTGAGCGGACCGGGAGCTCAATTACAGAAGGTATGTTGACCATCTTTAAGGTGGTTCCGAGTTGATTCAAGTGGTCGTAGGCATCGGTCAGGGTCGTGTGACGCAGAATCTCGGTACATTTGTCAATGAGCTCTCGGGCGCGTTCACTGTTCCTGACGAAAAGTCTATGGCTATGGTCTATGAGCTGCTACATACAGAAGGCCTGTACCTCGGAGCAAGTTCAGCTCTCAATGTCGTTGCCGCCGTCGAGCTTGCACAGAGATTGGGCAAAGGTATATTGCTTCTCTTGAATAGATGAATCAACTCATCTCGTTATAGGTTCAAAAGTCGCAACCATTTTGTGCGATGGTGCCTATCGTTACCAAAGTCGTCTATTTTCCAAAGTCTGGCTTAAGTCAAAGGGCCTGGACGATGCTATCCCGGCTCACCTGAGAAAATATGCTGTTCTAGATTAACATTCAATCCGTCCACGGCTACTATCTATGCTCAGTTAATTGGAAATGACATAGCGATTTCAATCTGTATTGATATCTACAATGTTCCATTGACATGTGAAGTATTATTTAGTGTGAATGAGAGGTGTGTGATTTAGTAGATAATAGTGTATCAGTACGTAGTGCGGATGTATCTCGTTCGATCGCCACTCAACTTTTAACTCTTACCTCCACCAGGCACTTCAGAAGGGGGAGGTGATGTTTGTGCATCAGCAGGTGGCGCAGAAGGTTCTTGAAGCTTGCGTTCAGCTTCTATTCGTTCGCGCGCGCGAAATACTTTGGACTGTAGATAGTGCGAATGTGTGGGCTGCGAAGCTTTTCCTCTCATGGGTTTCTCCGGTGGGGGTGGAGGAGAGTTCGTTTTGAAGAGGTGTTCGTAATTCTGGATCCCCACAACGGTAAGATGCAAATTAAGCTAAAAATGAAAAGTCCTCGTACTTTCAAAATTTGTTCCAGCGATTCTTCGCGTTTGACGTTAAGAATGAGGTTAGCTTCGTCTAGAGTCATCCGGTATTGTCGTGTTAATTGGTCAGTCGGCGAACTAGACATGGCAGCCCCAACTCCAGCAGCATCACCCCCTGTCACACCTTGAGGTTGGTGCTTAGCGTCTGCAAAAAATTGGCCGCCGTTCAGTAAAAGATTGGAGCGAGAAGAGAGCGAAAGATAAACAAGATGCACTTTTTACAGCTTGTCTGCCAGCTTCGTAGAAAGCTTTGCCCAGGATTCGGGTTCCTGTGATCAATATCTGAACTAGAACTTTAGGGGATGACTAGGTTGAACGGATGTCAGTAGGTGTTGAGTTGCGCACAGTTTACACACCATTGGTAAAGGTGAAAGTGTCTCGAGATTGAAAGAAAAAGGGTCACGTGAGAACGTCCCAAAAATATTTGGTGTGCTTTTTCGATGTAAAATGCGGACATGGAACAGTCAAGCAAGAAGCGCAAGACAAGCACAATATTTGACGAGAAGCCCTTGAGGAAGTCAAAAAAGGGTAAGCGAGAGAAAAAGGACGAAAAAGACAAGGGCAAGGCACGCGATTCTACGGAATTCCATGTCGTCAGAACCTCTCTGGTGGTATCGATCGCACCGACATTTGCCGGAAATCCACGCGCAGGGGTGGAGGAAATACTAGATTCTATGGTTATGAGGCGAGTGCACTACATGAGTTGACCCTTAACTACGTTCATGGTTTCTCTCGCTAGATACATACCCGCGCTTCGTGGCGTCGTTCTGTCGCATTCAAATCTCCATTTCCCATCCAAAATAGCTGTAATTCAAGCAGATTGCCCATTCCTCATCTGTCCTATAGAATTTGATGCGGCTATATGGAGCCCACGCGTCGGCATGAAGCTCAGTATGTTCAGAGCTATTTTGCCATATATTGGGAGCTAATACCCAGCAGTGGGCAAAATTAGTCTTTCTTCGCCGGACCACGTTTCCTTACTACTACATCGAACGTTCAATGTGTCGATACCGCGGCATCATATACCAAAAAACGAATGGGAATTCGAATATGGACCAGCAGAAAATGACCCTGAATATGGGGCAGGTGCAACTACAGAAGATACGGAAGAAGGCCCGTCAAAAAGTACGGAAGGCGATGTGGGCGGCAAATGGGTGCATCATCTAACGCACGCGAAACTTGGGGATGCAGATGGATATTTGACCTTTACAGTCATCGGGTACGCAAATTTAGGTGATCAGGAACTTATCAACCTGAACATTTCGGCAGATTGACGGTTGCGAATGAAATGTTATCATTACTGGGATCTATACAGTCAGATCCATTTTCGCCGGAGCATCTACCCGAAAGCGGGCCAGCGGCGAAGGCGAGCCCAACAGAATCGGAACTTGAGAGAGCCGAAGTGCAGAACGAGATACAACTTGCCGACGATGATGAGAGCGATGACGAGGACACTTTCAAAACACTTGGGAAGATGTCCGAGGATGCTGCAGCGCAAGAGAAGGCAAGACGTCTGGCGGTCGAGAAAGCAACGTTGGCCGAAAAGGAAAAGAAGCAGAAACGCAAGGCGGAAAATGGAGAGAGCAAGAAGCAGAAACGGAAAAAGTAGCTAGAAATATCAATAATTCTTTGACTCGGTTGGCATATGTTGTCTAAAAAACACTGATAAAGGTCGCAAGTGAATTGAAGAGTAAGTAGAAATTCGTCAGAAAAAAGTAGAAGGTCCTACCAGGACTCGAACCTGGGTTTCGAGAAAAGGGGAAATCAGAATCTCGAGTGATAACCACTACACTATAGAACCATCGTCCCAAGTACGTAATTAATTATATATGTAGGCGTACAGGTTTGACAAATAATCTGGTTGCGGTTGATTTCTGGAATGGTCAATGACGAACCCGTCACACATCCTCATCGCGCGCAACTCGAGGGGACCTAACAATCCCTCTGCTTCTCTCAGCTCTCCCACAGAAACTCATGCCGCTGCCTCTGGCATCTTCCGCTCTTCTGGTTCTCCCCCCTGGATCCTTCAGGAATGCGAAACCAGCGACATCGTGTCCGAGCTCAGCTTGGGTGAGGACGGTGAAGAAGCTATCGAGATTGATGAAGCATTCACCAAGAACAGCCGTTTCCCAGGGACTGTCAAAATTGTTGTAGAAAACACTACATTCTGGTCAGCATCGTAGTCTACCACCATTGGTCTCGCAATAATTGTCGACAGGGCGCATAAGGAGGTCCTCTTCTTTGCTTCTCCATTCTTCGAGGCTGCGTTGAGTGGAAACTGGTTAGAGACCGGCCCTGGGCGGCCACCTTCTATGTCAAGTGTAATCACTATATCACAGCCTCCGTCGGTTCTAGGAGATAGGACAAAGTCAATGACCGACGCTTCTACTGAGATGACATTTGCGCCGATAGGTCCAGACATCGAATCTTTGGAACTTGACGTCATTGCAGAGCAAACCTCTCCTGTTAGAGATGGTGAAGATGGAAATTTTCAAAACGCCGATAGCTCAGAGTCAGATGTCGTCGCACCTTTACTGGATCAGGTTGCGCGTGCCCGAGACAATAGCCTTGCGAAGTTGCAAGGCTTAGATGAGAAGAGAGAAGGAAGTCGCCAGCGAAAGGGGTCCCTTGAACCATCCCATCCTCGACGACCTCCACTTGTACCTGTTCCCGACGCAGTTATCGTCCTTAAGGAAGAACGCGTATGTTATCATCCTAGTGACTTATATCCACTCATCATAGTGTAGGCCAGTACGTTTCACGATTTCCTCAAATTTGTATATCCCCAGTATGTCTACCAATCTGTGTAAACTTGGGTCCATCTCATTCCATTGATTATTTTCAGCCTTGAATGTACTATTACCTGGAATAATGTCGAAAGCCTCATGAATATCTCGCACAAGTTATGTGTGCCTCCGCTACAGCGCGAGTGCCTTACCTTCCTGCTCACACATGCTGCGGGCAAACCAATCAAAGCTTTACGTATTGCAGAGCTCTTTGAGGAAGAAGAGCTCTATCGTGAGGCTAGTCGATTTGTCTTGGACAATCCCGGTGGCTGGCCAGACGAAGAAATGGCAACTCTTTCTCAAGAGACTTTACTCAAGCTCGAGAAACGGTGTGTATTGTATCCCCTATGCGCTAATTTTTCATGAGTTCTTATTCATGTTCTTCAGCCGTACCTGGTTCCTTGAACGTGTCCTGAAACTTGGTTTGACCATGATTGCAAAGGAATATCAATGTGTAAGCCCAGTGATTCGTTTCTGTTTGTAACATATCGAGTCGTTTTTTGGACAGTGCGTTACATGTCCGGACCCCCCGATGTGCGCGCGGTTGCTTGAGGAGAAATGGAAACAGGCTTACTTTGCTGTCTTTCGCTTTGGTAAGTCTGCTGCCATCGTCATGACAAATACTCAAAAATGTGTTATGATAGGCCCGCCCCAACCATCTATGGTCTTTCGATATCTCCGCATGCTCGAAGGCGTCAGTCCTCCCCTGTCGCTTACCCAAACCGCCTGTCAAGCGAGTGCGAAGGCTTTTACCGCAACTCGTATGTACATTTCTTTTTGAACTGAGAGGTTGCTGATATACTGCATACTTGTTTCAGTGTTTGACCGAATGTTCTCGTTGGGCGTTCGTGGCAGTGGTGCGGATACTGCTCCTTTGGTTGGGCGCTCTGCCGCAGCCGTAGCAGGCGCAGCGACTGGTCCTAGGCGCCACTTCTTGTTTTGCAGTTTTAGATCTGATGCGGCACCCAAGTCACGCCGGTCAAGAGAGGGTTCTTAGGTTAAGTCATGTTTTCTGCGCTATCGAAGTGATGATCTTTCGGCCAGTACTTTTCACTAAATATTCACGCACATTCACTGTGTAACATTGCGTATAAGATTGAACCTGGTTATATTGAATGACAGGCGATCATACTTGTGCAGTACCGAATAATACATCCAATCCAAAATCATGCGGGGAAGGCGGGGAAGGCGGGGAAGGCGGGTATGATGGGGAACAGAACAGGAACTCGTCCACGGAGAAGGTTGGGAACTGTAAACACCCCAAGGTAAGTGAACTCGAAATACTTTGATATAGATAACGAAGGATGGAGGAAATGACAACGAGAGATAGGAAAAAAAAAGTCATACAATACATCTGAGAAAGGCTGCTATGCATTCCTTGTAACCGTGATAGGAGATAGAAATAAAATAATAAATAATGATATACGTTATGCCTGGTAACCAGAATTGTCTTGGATGTTGAATATACGAGGGGCATTCTCAACGAGCCACTCGATAGCGATGGCTTTACCTGCCATGTCATTGAATTCTTGCGCCGGGTCGCGAGGGCGCATCAGAGTAGCTGTCCGAGGGCAATTGATCGTAATTCCCAATTCAAAAAAGCAAAACCCTCACGTCCAAATACAACGCCAATATTTCGTGCATTCATCTTGTTGATGTCCGCAAAGTCACGTACACTTGAAAAGTGCATGAATGATCGGAGTAAGCGGGGTAAGAACATAGCGTACCGATGTAGATGTAGCATGAGCATCCGTAGCGTATAATAGTGTACATCTGGTAGTTTGTTTACTAGATTCAATAATGTGGCGTCTCGTGCAGCATGGTCCTTAATTTGTACGGCCGTCATAAAGTCATCGTGATGATCATAAGTGAGCAATGGCACTGGCAATGACCGGAAGTAGTTCTTGAGGACAGATGTTACGCTGCAGATATCGTTGAAGCGATCCGAATCCCGGAGATCGAATGACGTGTAGTCCCCGCGCTCGAATAGCTGCGTAATCAGCTTTGACTGTCCGGCGCCGCCTGTTTTACGATAGATACCCTCGTACTCAAGTGCTGAAGGTTGAACAATTGATGTTCAATATCCTCCTATGAGATCTATGACACAATGTTGAACGTACCGATGGCCTCCACTGCCTGTATACATTTTTCGACAATAACAGGGACCTGACGATCTTCTCCTCGAGCATCCGCACGAGCTTGTTCTATAAGGTCACGACCAAACATCGAAGGTACTATTGAAGCACACCGTGAGTCGGTCAAGAAGGTTGTGAAGAAGACTCAACAACGTACGAAGTGAGGCGGGTATAAGCTCCGATTGTACGTTTGAGGCTTGTTGAATGCAAGATATTTGCAGATGGTTGACGCATCGGACATGAGTGGAAATGGGACAGACTGGAATGGCTCGAATAAATGATGCGTTGAACAGAGATGATAGGGTAGCGAACCTGTGCAGCGCAGCTGTGAACCCCACATCTTGTCTCCACAGTGGTCGCACCGCGTAAATCGCAAGATGCTCAACTGTTGGAAATTGTGCGGTATTAAAGCTATCTTCCTCTCCCCCGTAGCCACAGCCTGAGGTGAAGTGAGTTCCTTTGCTCGTGAGCCCCATTTCATATTCATAAACTTCGATCTGGAAGGCGTAGGATCGGACTCTTGTTTATGGAGTTTGACTGAGCGCAAGTCCATAGTTTCATCATGAAGCGTTGACGAAGTTGACGAACTCAAGGAATGAGAAATGTTAACTTGTTGTGACTGGTACGGTAGCTGAGACAGTCCTCTTCCATGGTCATGGTAGTCATTAGTGGTAGGATACACCTCAGGAACAGTTTCCATACGACGGGAATAGGCAGCACTCAATTGTGCAAGCTCTTCGTTACGGGCATTGAGAACTGTCGTTTCCTCAAGGAAGACATCCCGCACGGCTTTAAGTTCCGCGATTTCTCTTTGCAGACTCTCCTTCTCCCTAGTCAAAGGCAAAAGATCTCGTTTGTACTGGTGCTTTATACTTTCGAGACGTTTGGTCAGAGAGCGACCAAGATTGGCAGGAGGCATTTCAGAAGATCCACTAGCGAGTTTCAGCGATCTGATCTAAGCACAAGTGACGTTATGATGCAACGAACCTCTTAGTCGCCTCCAGTTCCTCAACTTCGGCCAAAGCCATATCACGCTCAACCTTGAGGTTTGAAAGATCGAGTTCAAGACCGGACAGACTGTCGTGGAGCTCCTTCGACAACTGTTGTCTTAGTTTTTCCTTCCGGTTATCGCCAGACAACACGGTTAGTTTTGCGACCTTGCCAGACAAAAGGACTCTGAGCCGTGTGACTTCGGCCTCAGCGTCTCGGCGAGCTTTGAGCTCTCGATCATATTCTGTCTGTGCAACTGTAAGCCCTTCGATATATTGCTTACTTGTCCTCTATCGAAGTGTCAAAATAAGAGAGATCAAAGTCTTGAATAAAGATCACATACTTTAACTCCATCGAACTTGCTCCTGAGCTGCAAGTACTCCATTTTCTGTGTCTCCAGAGTTGATAGAATGGCTTCCACAAATCCCCTGTCCATTTTGAGATGTTGTGCTCCGCGATCCCGCGCGTCAGCAACTGCTTCTTGTAGACGTACCACTGTAATATCAGTCCCGTCTTCGGAAAGGGTCGTCGACATCTTCGAGTCAGGCCCTGTCAACGTGATGCGCGTCTTCATGCTGACTGAACGATTGTGAGTGGTTGGAGATACAGTCGAAACATCAACGTGTTCCGACTTTGGCGCAGGCTTAGGTCGTGATGAATGTGATGAATCTGACGCGCTGGACGAGCTTGGACGACGGAAGACGCCGTTGACTTTCGAGGGCTTTGTTGGGGGAGGGGGAGCGTCGTTCCTGGCCTCTGAAGGCGGGTGACCCGAATCTGAAGGTAAGGAAGATTGAGGTTTGATAGTATCATCCTCAGCTTCACTCTCTTCGACTGTTGGAGGCAAGAGTGGAGCGCGGGGCGTCGGTGTAATATCTGCAGCTAGATCA